TTGTCCAATGAAAAAAATTTTTCAAGGCAAAAAGGGAATGGATTTATTTCAATAAATTCATTTCGTTTTTGCCTTGAAAAACGTCCACATTGACCTAAACGCGTCGGCTAATAATACAGTTTTCCTATTGTCATTTACCTTTACACACACACACACACACACACACACACACACACACACACACACACATATATATATATATATATATATATATATGTATGAATAAATGAATAAAAACAAAAGGAACATAACCGACGCGTTTCATTCGCTGATGGGCTTTATCAAGGCAAATGTAAGGATGCTATTTTACAACAAGTATTTATAAACAAAAGTAAAATATCGTGTGGTTTCAAAATTTATAAATTTAGCAACGCTCAAAATATTCATCAGATTTACTATGAAAAATAAACTACGTGGTATAATTTAATTCTACACATGCTAACGCACGCACACAATTTATTATATATATATATATATATATATATATATATATATATATATATATATATATATATATATATATATCATAAAAGATTTTAAAAATTAATAGTGTCTTCTATAACTTACTGTCATATAGGAAGAAAATCAGTAACTATCGACACCGAGGTTCGAGCGTGACACGCTGGACTTACGAATATATGTTTTCCGCCAACTGTATAAAAAGCGGTGTCAGGCTACTGACTGGGGTGATTATTGATTGACTATTGATTTACTATCGAGTGGAACTATCCAGTCGAATTAGTGTGAATTATTGTGCGTCAATGATTTGGGTTTTGATTTAGGATTTACCTGACGTTAAGCAGCGCTACTAACAAGGTATTCACTGAAATGGTTAATTATCTTTGGTTGACTTTTACTTCTTTGTTCTTGTTAAGTATTTATTTGCAGTTGTAATTAAATACTGTTTTATTTTAATATTAAAGTATTGAGTTATACTTAATTATTAACGTCCGCCGTACGTCACAAAACTTACACGAATGGTTTTCAAACAGATAAGTTGGAATCTTTTGGCAGCAAGGTCAGCCCTCATGAAATAAAAATAAAACAAAAAATAAATGATCACTGACTGACGAGAGTTATCGTTCCAAGTTTGTGACAGCAAAACATTTAATAGAGAATACATATCTAATGATAGCATAATGCCTGCAGAAACATTTTTTTAAATCCGCGGAGAATTTGATAGAGAAATACATAGACTGTGATAGCATAACAGCCCACAGAAAACGCTTTCTCATATCAGCAAAACATTTAATAGAGAAATACATAGACTGTGACATCATAACAGACCACAAAAAAACGCTTTCTCATATCAGCAAAACATTTAATAGAGAAATACATAGACGGTGACAGCATAACAAACCGCAAAAAACGCTTTCTCATATCAGCAAAACATTTAATAGAGAAATACATAGACTGTGATAGCATAACAGCCCACATAAAACGCTTTTTCATATCAGCAAAACATTTAATAGAGAAATACATAGACTGTGATAGCATACAGACCGCAAAAAACGCTTTCTCATATCAGCAAAAGATTTAATAGAGAAGTACATAGACAGTGACAGCATAACAGACCGCAAAAAACTCTTTCTCATATCAGCAAAACATTTAATAGAGAAATGCGTTACACATGGCAGCATAACAGTCAACGGAAAACTTATGTCAACCTAAAAAAATTAAATGGCTCAGTCATTGGTCAGTTGTGATATTTTAGTTTTGGGGATCTCAGTCATCTTTTTATTTTTATTTTTTAAAGAGTTTTCATTTGCTGAAATATCTAAAATCAGTCGAATATTTGTTTGCAGATTGTCGAACAACGACTTCTGTCTGTACCGCTTACAATCCACAAGTAAGTATAGCGAATTTTCGATTTCGGTGTGAAGTGCCACTTGGAATACTGCCATTGAAATCTTCTGTCTTGCACGGAGAAAAATATCGATGCAGAAAAATAAATAGAGAGCAATTTTGCGCGTGGCTTTTCCTCCATTATCAACCCGGGCTTATTTGGACAAAAGCGCCATCTTTTTTCACGCAGAAAGGAATTCGAAGCTGCACAACAAAAACACTTGTAATATCGAAGAATACATTAGCCGACTTTCATGCCGCAGTTAATTTTCTGACTGGTATCTTCTAGAACATGGCCGCGACATCATGAAAACGGTGAAATAAGAAAAGAAAGGAATAAGGAATTTCCGGTGCATGCTATTTACCACCCCAAAACTCTCTGTATAGTTGCGATAGAAAGCACCTGAAATTAAGGTGAAAGAAATAATGGTTAAATGGTTGATAATTCACCATTTAATAAGAATTCAATAAAATTCTACTTATAGCTGTTGACTGATGGTTGAAGTATGGAGGATGAGAAGTAACTAAAATTAAAATGAAAGAGATGGTTGTCTTTAATTAATAATGGTTGATAATGCTTCAACTAATAAAAATGGTAACATTGCTACGACTAACCTTCTTGTATGAGCCTGTCCCTTCAGAACATAGTCGATCATGGCACTCCACAACTTCCTATCTCGTATGGCTCTCAGCAGTTTTCTCGCTTTACTAAGTCCCTCACAACCCTTCCGCTATATATTCGCACAAGCTCATCAGGTAAGTGGATCGTTGCCTTCCATTATCTCTCTTACTCGCAATATGATCCGTGAGAGCTATGTTTGCCAAGCACCCTTTTCTCGTATCCAAAGAATTCCAGCCCTTTTCCTGATTCTGAGTAGAAGCAATATTTCTGTTGCCATTTTCTTTAAGATTTCCTTGTTACTTACTCACTCCGTCAATGTAATGTTCAGTATCCTTCTGTAGAACCACATTTCTCCTGCCTCTAGTTTTCTCCTCATCCGTGCGTGTACGGATCTCGGTGTCACATTTTCGACACACTGTTAAAAAGCATCCCAGATATTTGAACTTCTTCACCTGCTTGATTCGTAACGCGAATTTCAGGCTTTTTCACTGTCTTCTTGCACACTTGATACTAATACATTGAAATGTGTTCGTACTTAAAATAAATCAGATATATTCACACATATATATATAAACATATAGTTAAAAATTTGCCATATTTATTGGGGAAGAGTGTTCAATATCGAAAATGGTGCATTTCTAGATGGAGTGTGGACATAGAAATCAACAATGTATAAAAATTTTTGGTTTTGCAATTGCAATCTTCAAACGAAGAGTTCGTCTGAAGATCATGTTAAGGCATGAAAATGAGTCATGCAGTGTAGATTCTAATGTCCACACTGCCTATATCTATCTCTCTTTATCTATCTATCTATCTATCTATCTATCTATCTATCTATCTATCTATCTATCTATCTGTCTCTCTCCCACCATTCTCTCTCTCTCTCCCATTCTGTTTATTATCTGTCTATCTATCTATATGTATATATATATATATTTAGAGAGAGAAAGAGAGGAAGTCAGAGAAAGAAAGAGAAGGTGAGAGATGTGCTTTTCCCCTGGATCCAACAGTATTTGCTCGTAAGTCGGAGAGCGTATATTTTTCTCGAACAAGATTTCTCGAATATTCAAGCCGGTAGACGAAAATAAATAAATATATTGTTTAATAAATAAGCTGATTGTCTACTGAAACACGAGTATCCATTAAAAATAACGTTTAAGTAAATACACACACACACACACACACACATATATATATGATTTACTTGATGTAATACTATTTTAAAACAACTGTTACATTTCAATTCAAATGAAACTGATTTTTCAAGTTTCATATATACTTTAGTCTTAATTTTTAATATCTTTCTATTTTAACATTTATTAAAGTTATAAGAAAGAAATATTTAAGCCACCGTGTTTATCTATCTATCTATCTATCTATCTATCTATCTATCTATCTATCTATCTATCTATCTGCTTGTTTGCTATCTTTCTGTCTATCTCAGCTTATTTGTTATCTATCTATCTATCTATCTATCTATCTATCTATCTATCGATTGATCGATCGATGTTAGCTTGTTCATTATCTATCACCTTGTTTGTTATCTTTCTGTCTCTGTATCTCTCTCTCTCTTAATACATAGATAGATAGATAGATAGATAGATAGATAGATAGATAGATAATGGGTTTATATGTCATTCACACCACCGAAGTGTGTGAACGTTTAAATACTTAACGACTGCTGATAGACAAACCAAATTACAAATTGATGCTGCCATGGCAAAGTCTCTTTTGGTTAAAACCTCAGATTATCAAATGAATTTTCTGTGTGTGAATGTGCTAAGTAAGTGTTCGTTTGGTGGGGCCTTTGCTACAAGACAGCGTTTAAATTAAAGAAAATGGATGGATTCTGGATACTGATTTTAAAACTAAGTAGACCCATACAAAAGGAATGACAAAGCATAATCCTTTTACCTTCATAGTCTTACATTATTATCTGGATTCTGATTAATAGAATACAATACGACCTACAAAAATAAAGCAAGAATAGATCTTTAAATATCTGAGAAATGTTATAACAGATGTGGTAAAATGTGACAGAGAAATCCGAAGGTAGATTTGGATAGCGAATACTTCGTTTAATGTCGATTCTTCTATATAGCAGTGAATGTTGGATAATTTCTTCACAGCAAAGAGGAGACTTGGAAGAACAGAGATGTATCTGTACAGAAGGATGCTGAGAATACTATAGACGGAACATGTGAGCAACGAGGAAGTTTTAAAGAGAATGGGAACGAAAAGGACACCTGTGCTTAATGAAATATGAAGAGGAAAGATGGATCGAAAAATATGACACTCACAAAACCTGCTCCGCAATTTATCTAGCTAGTATATTTTAAGGCGTGAAAATGAGTCAGGCAGTGTAGATTCTAATGTCCACACTGCCTATATCTATCTATCTATCTATCTATCTATCTATCTATCTATCTATCTTAGTCTCTTCATATGTGTACCTGTCTGCCAGTCTGTATATCTATCTATCTATCTATCTATCTATCTATCTATCTATCTATCTATCTATCTCTTTTTCTGA